GAGATGAGGTCTCGCCTGCCCAGGCGGGTCTTGAACCCGCAGGCTCAGGCAATTCACTCAACTCAGCCTTCCAAAGGCGCGGGATTACAGGCTGAGCCACCGAGTCCGGCAGCTTTGGATTTCAAATCTTTTTGGATTTTGAATATTTGTAGAATACATTCAGGTTGAGCATCCCAAATTCAAAAATTCAAAATCCAAAATGATCCAAAGGGACCTTTCCTTTAAGCATCATGTGGGTACTCAAAAGTTTTAGATTTTGGAGCATTTGACATTTTCAGATTTGAGAGGCTCAACCTATATAATAATACCTGAGTTCCATTTTTAAAAATATAGATCTATCAATGAAAAGAATGGATTATCTTTTGGGGGTGGATAACATTTACTTAATTGAGGTTCAAATTTAAGTGTTCTCTATAATCAATACTGATTGCAAATAATCCATTAATACTCATCTGTAATAAGATTTTATACATTTGAGTCTTTTAATGTCTTTTCACACAGGTAAACACTGATATTAATCCATGAGCACATGATTTTCATTGAGCATATGCATTAGACTGAAAGGCATTTATAAAATTCTATTAGATTCTTCTCTTGATATTTGCCTTGTATTATTAATTGTAAATTAATCATAACTGATCAAAGATTGAAGCTCTTCAATTATATAGCTAAATGAATTTAGAAATCTGGAAATTTCCTTGCATTAAGGTCTGAAAAATGCTGCTGGAACTACAGTTTGAGCTCAGGTAATGCATCTGCTGCAACTTTGTGTGAGTGACGCTTTTTCTTGTTCTAACTTTTATAGCATTTTTTAAAATTACTTTTTGTCATGACAACGTTAGTTGTTTTCTAAATGACTTTATCACAGCACAGGTTTTACATATGAACATTCTTTTGACTTGCAATCTTAGGTTGGCTTAATTAAGAACCATTATCAAGTCTGCAGCAAAAGCTAATTTCCAAAGCCAGTCAGTATTCAAAAACAGTGGCTAAAGGTGATTCTTCTTATTCAAAAATATTTCAGTCTGAGCTGTGAGCTCAAAATATCACTATAAAACTTCACCACTGCTAAGTTACCAAACTGCTATGTGATAGAGCAAGTCAAGATATTCAGCATCTATTTCTGATTTTAAAAAACTCACACAACTGACAATGGTTAAGTTCTTAAGAGCAAATGAAGTTCCCTTGACAGTACTCTTTCAAAAACACAATGACAGATTCAAATATGCTCAGCAAAGTATATGCAGCTGAATAATACAATTAATAACAACAGAATTTAAACATCTTACAGTTTTACAAACTTTGCAAATTTGTCCAACTAAGCTTTTTTTCTGCAACATACATATTTTTACCACCAATGGTTATAATACATCTTAGCAGATTCCACTTCAGGTTGTAGTAAATTGATGTTTCCTCAACTTCCTTGAAAGTATTCGCACCTAAAATTGTTCCACACAGACTTTTTATAGAAGCTAATTCTTCAGTCACTTCACACTTGTAGTTGATACCTCAAATAAACTATCTATAGTTGAGCCATACTGGTAACATCAGGAGCCAAGGAGGATCACTTGAAATAATTTGCCTTGTTTTTTTAATTTACTACTCATGTTGCTCTCAATTTTCTCAATTATTCAAGCAACTATTCTTGCTAAAAGGAACTAGTTCAGAATAAGTATATTTTTTCTGAAAATATCTCTTCTGCAGCTACAAGCAAATACAATTTAATTAACTCATCATTATAAATGGTTTTCCTTGTTTCTCAAACAAGCCACTCAGAAACTTACTTTGACTTTGGCTGAAGCCCCATTTTCACTTTTTATTTTTATGCAGAAATTCTGCAATGATGAGACATTTCATTTCAAATTTTCAAATTTTTATGACTACTGTTATCCATGAGTTGGGAATATTATGATGAATACTTAGATGGTAATGTCAATATATAGAATATTATTTTAGCATAGCTATGATATCATTGCATAATTTAAAACAATGCTTTGCATTTTGATAACAAAATAGTTCACACTCCATTGTGTCCTATTTGCAACTATTTAAAGTGCACTTTTCTCTTATTTTCTTGTTTGTACATGATTGGTATGCACTGGGAATGAAAATATATAATTGTCACAGTACAACAATATATGTGGCACCTAAAATGCTATCAAGTTATAACTGCATCACTGAGACTGGTCAGGCAACAATCCAGAATGATAAAATGTGATTTGTCCTACAAGAGTTTGATGACAGCACCACAGTCTGTCACAACTACTCAATCCTGCCATTGTAAAATGAAAGCAGCTAAAGACAGTGTGGCTGTTTTCCAATAAAAACTGAAATTTGAATTTTGCATACATTTTACATGTCACAAAATATTACCCTTTTTGATTATTTCAATAATTTAAAAATGTAAAGGCCAATCACAAGCTGTACAAAGCAGTGGGAAGGACTTGGCTCACAGGCTGTAGTTTGCCAACTCCTGCTTTAATTTACACTAGGTCAAACTTGTAAAACAAAAGAATGAAAAGTAATAACGAACAAAAAGCAAGGACAGGACGAATAGCTTCAAGCTTAAAAAAAATACTGTGTACCTGAATTTATGTTTTTTAAAAAAGTGAGTCTTTTTACAGGGTGTCCAGACATTTGAACATTACTCTGGGTGTTTCTATGAGGGTGTCTTGGGGTGACAGAAACATTTAAATTGATAGACTCAGGAAAGCATATTGCCCTCCCTGATGAGGTGGCCTCATCCAATCAGTTGGCAGGAATAAAACAAAAAGGCTGATTATCCCTCAAGTAAGAGAGAGCTCCCTATGCCTGACTGCCTTAAACTAGGGCATCTATCTTATCCCACCTTCAGACTTAAACTGATACAAACATCAGCTCTTCCTAGGTGTTGAACCCTCTGGCTTTTAGACTGGAACTTACACCATTGACTTTCTTGGTTGTTGGCCTTCAGATTCTGATTAGAACTAAACCATTAGCTCTCCTGGTCTCCAGCTTGCTAACTGGAGATTTTGGGACTTCTCAGCCTCCATAATGACATGAGCCAATTCCTAAAAATAATAATAATGATAATTAAATAATAATAATCTCTTATTGGTTCTGTTTCTCTGGAGAAACCTAATACGGGTCTTAAAAATTAGTTGTAATGAGGTGGGGAAGACACAGGTAGGAGCAGATATGAGGGAATATGGTAAAGGAGAGAAGGAGTAATAATTCTGTCTTGGCCATGTTAAGTTTGAGATGCTTATGAGCTCCCAAATGAAAATGTCAACTACAGAGTTAGACATACAAGTCTATATAGCTGAAGGGAAGAGTCTGAACAAGAGATACAGATTTGGGAATCATTAACAAATGCACAATATTTAAATCTATGGGAGTGGATATAATCACCTATTGATGCACTGTCTGATATAGCAGCCACTAGCTACAGGGGGCTATTTAAACTTAAAATAAAAATTAAATAAAATTTAAAATCCAGTTGTTAGTTGCACTAGCCCCATTTCAAGTGCTCAAAAGCCACAAATGGCTAGCAGATACCATATTGGTTAGTAGATAAAAGATTATTCTTATCATCAAAGAAGGTTCTAATAGATAGTATAGACCTAAACAAATTATTGGAAAAAGAAAACCAAGGACAGAATTCTAGTAGAGAAGGTATAAGCAAATAAAACTAAAAAAGAAATGACCGGTGAAGTGTTAGCAAAGAAGCTTAAAGACAAAAATATTTCAAGAAAAAGAGTGGATAACTGGATTAATTCAAAGATTAAGAGATCAAGTTGGATGAGAAAAGAGCACTCACTACCAGCTTTGATAAGACACCGATCATTAGGAACCTTGCAATGAGCCACTGCAGTAAAAACTGATGAAAACAAAACCTAAGCAAAGTCTGTTAAGAAGGACTAGATGGAGGGAGGAAAGAGGTACCAACTGTAGACAACTTTTCAAGAAATTTTATTTTAAAGAAGCAAGAAACAGGAGGTACCTTAAAGGGAATATGGGGTCAGAATAGGTTTAACACACAGACAGTTGTATTGAGGCAGGATTATATGCCATTAGGAATAATAAAATAGAAACAGAGGATGCAAAAGAGAAGATAACTGAAGGAAATAACTGTAAGAATAAAACTCTTGAGATGGTCAGAGTATTTAGAATCCAGAGCATAAGTGAGGATTAGCCACAGATGAGATGAAGGCTAGTCTTCCAGAATATAGTGAAGGATGAGACCATACTGAGCACACATAAAGCTAACTTGACACACAGTCAGTCCTCCATATAGATGAGTTCTGCATTCATGGAATTAAACCAACTGCAGATCAAAAGTCTTCCAAAAAATAAATAAAATAATACTACAATCAAAAATACAAATTTAAAAACAAAACAGTATAGCAACTATTTACATAGCATTTACATTGTATTGGGATTATAAGTAATCTAGAAATGATCTAAAGTATACAAGAGGATATGCACAGGTTATATATAAACTCTATGGTATTTTATATAAAGGACTTAAGCATCCCCATATTTTGTATACCAGAGGTTCTGGAACTAATCCCCTGCAGACACTGAGATATAACTGTATCTGGTGACGGAGGTAGCTCTCATCTGTATACATTTTCTGTATAAAGTAAGACTATCAATTAAGAGTGGCCAGGTAGATTTTGTAGGGTTTTGTTTGTGGCTTTTGATTTTTTTATTTGGTTGGTTAGCTGGTTTGGGTTTGGTTTCATTTGGTTTTTGTTTTTTGGTGGGGAGACAGGTATTAGTAATTTGAGGAGAAATAAAATATCAACAATGCTCTCAAAAAGAAAGAAGTGAATTTATTAGGGAACTATAACAAGATCAAATAGCAGTTCTGAATGTGCATTTGATCTCTGCCATCACAGGTTAAGATAAATCCAGTCAGCATGTTGTCTGAGTTTCCTCTAACAAGTTAGCTGCTCTCATGAGATTAAGCATATAAATGTATTTAACTAGAATAGTGTTTTTCCAGTCACTAATTAAGCATACAATTGTATTTAAACAGGGTAGGCTTTGCCAGATAAGTAAGATGGAAAGGAGCGTCAAAGAAGTCAAGAGTATCTACAAGGAAATGGTTACTGGGCTAGACCACATGACCTAAACTGGGTAGAAGAGAGGTCATGAGTAAGGAGAGCAATTTGAAAGTCATATATATATTTGTACAAACTTTATTTGGCTCTTAAGTCAAATACAATGTTTTTTGAAGCAAATGATATTTATGAGACAATTGAAAATTTAATATTTTTAGTATTTTATATTTAATAATTTTATATAAGATAATAATAATTCTTTTCTAGATATGAAAATGGATAGACAACTGGAACACACTTCAGAATAATACGTAAAGTGAAAAAGGAGGTGAGGGTAAAATGAAACAAGTCTGACTATGAAGTGATAATTGCTTAGGTTGGGTAATAGGTATACAAGGGTTTATTATACTATTCAGTCTATGTTTGTAATATGTTAAAATTTTCCATAATAAAATATTAAAGCAAAAAAAAAACAAGACTCACAGAAAGTTTATTTAAAATGAAATGTATGTCTCTGGTTAATTATAATTCATGGTTTTAAGACCTGAAAATCTTCAAAACTTGTATATATATAAAACAAATACAGAAGGCTATTTTATCATAATTTGGATATTTCAATGAAAACAAGGGCCAAAGAACTGTGAGGTTAAAGAGAGTGGTACATATAATAGAACAAATCAAAAGATGTCTAACTTTATTCTACTCTGTAGTAAGTTTTCCATAAAGATTGATTTAACAAATATAATTTCTCTTGATTTAAAGAAATAGCTGTTTTGTGTAAAAAAAAAACAAAACTAAATGAATAAAACAGAAATAACGTAAATTAAAAATGGAACCATCTTGATTATTCATAACCTTTCTTATGCTTTACAATAAACAACCATACAAGCCCGTCTTACAAACCAGCACAAGATAAGTTTTTTAAAATGTATTTGTAAAACTTGGAAGTAAACTTACTATTTCTTTCTGTTCTCTTGGAAAAGAAGAAAATAAGCACTGTTCTTATGCTCCAGATGCTAAAAGGGAAGCAAAATTCAGAAACAAAAACCATCATTAGAATAAGAAAATTAGAAGCCATATAAAATGAAAACAAATACATATATTTCCATTAGAGTTAGGTACATTGCTTTCCTTTATATATCAAAAACCAAAAAGTACTTCTTTCTGACAGAGAACATCAGAAGTCCATCCGTACTTACAAAGGAGGAGTTCTCAATCTAAAGTCCTCAAACTTTCTAAGGGTCCCCCTAAGTTACAAAATTGCCTTTGTGTGCATAAGTGTGTTTCTCTGGAAAGAATATTGCTTTCACCAATCTGAAAGGCATTTATGAAGCCCCCAAAAGATTGAGAACAATATTACTGAATCACTTCTTACTAAGCCTAAACCCCAAAAACATGTCTTGTCTATTCCTGTGCATTGAGAGAAAATGCTTTTACAAATTAAGAGCATTATACAGATGTAAGCTACTCTTTTCTTATTATTTAACATTAGAAGGATCTTCTCTACTCAATAGAATATCTGGGGCAGGGGAGGGAAAAAAGTCTTACCTTCAAACAAATACTTGATAAGCAAACTTAGCTAAATATCTCCTTTCAAAGATCTTAGAATAATTCTTTAGGTCTCACATTAATAAGACATAAAATGATAGTAAAAGAATTAAAAGAAATTCAAAGAATGATACTAATCACAAACATGTTAAGATCATTTCCTAAACTCAATGAAAATATAGCAAAATACCTCTTTCTCCATAGAACATGACAGAAATAAGTATGCAAACATTCATCATTTTTAAAAAGAAACACATTTTATCTGGATATAAATTCAGAACATAAGTATGTTCTGCACTCTGAAATACAGTATTGCTATTTTGGAGAGTCAACCTGCAAAGTAGTCACCATTGGTCCTTGTCTCTTGGTATTTGTATAACGATGTAGTCATCTCTTACCAGTGTTGGTCTGTGTGACCAATAGCGTATGGCAGAAGTGAATGTATCACTTCAAGATTAAGTTATAAAGGCTATGGCTTCCATTTTGGACCTCTTCTTCCACTAGCTGTCCTTCTCTCTTTTGGATATACCAGCTCTGAGAGAACCAGATATCATGACATGATAACAGTCTGGGAAGTCCATGGAAAGGCCCAAGTGGTGAGGAACAGAGGTCTGTGGCAAACACTAAAGTGAAGAACTGATGCCTGCTATCAACTACATGTGTGAGCCTAGAAACAAATTAGAGGAAAAATAGCCAAAAGGTACAAGACCATGTGGGATGTCATCTTCATATTTGGATTCAGAACTCCATTTTAGTGGCAAGACAACTGGCTTTGGAATGATTTACAAGTACAATTCCTTGGATTATACAAAGAAAATGAAACCAAACAAAGACTTGCAAGAAACAACCTGTATGAAAAGAAAAAGACTTCAAGGAAACAGCAAAAAGAACACAATAACAGAATGAAATTTTAGAGGAACAGTGAGCTGGAGATTGGATAACGCAGAAAAAGTAAAAATTCTGCAACAATTTTATCTACAGTGATTGTGTGGATTTACTTAAGCCTTGAGATGATTGTAGTCCCATCCAACAGTTTAACTGCAGTTTATATAAAAACAAAAGACCCTTACCCAGAATTACCCCACTAAGCTGTTCCCAACACTCCTGCCCTTCAGGAGCTGTGGGTCATAATAAACATCTGTTGTTTTAAGCTACTAAATTCTGGAACAATTTGTTACACAGCAATAGGGAATATATCTTTTTTATACTGTGATCATTTGTTTTTATGATATGAAAACACCAAATAACTAGTACCAGATTCCTATATGGTAAATGGACAATTATCTAACAGTAAAGAAGACACTGAACACTGTCCTTATCAAAGAAAGGGAGCAAAGGAGCAAGGAGATTAAAAAAAAAAAGTGCCCATAGCCCACAAGGATCCTACAGAAGTAGAAAAGTCCCACAATATTCTTCCACTGCAAAGTCACTTGAAAGAAAACAAGAAACAAAAGAGAAGGAATTGCAGAGATGGTTACAAGAATTCTTTAAGAAATTTATAAATTTTCTTAAATAAGTAGATACTTTCCTAAAAGCATACATAATTATCAAAGTGTGAAAACTACAAGAATTGAAATATGCTGCTCTCTTCAAAATAAAACTCAACTAAATCCACCTTTGTGGACAATAAATTCTTCTCTGGGTTTTTATTAGAACTATTCTTGAATCAAATGAGCTATCAAACAATATACATTTCCAAAGTGTCAAGTCTTTAAGACGTGAAAAAGTAGAACATATAGAATATATTATTCCTGAGGGCTAAATTAAATGAAATTCTTCTGAATTTTTAAAATAAAATTAAGAAAAAAAAACTAAGTACTTCCATAATCTATCCTCTTGTTATCCCAACAAAGATTTTTCTCTCCCAAGAATTAAATACAATTTATAAAAACACAGCAACATGTTCTGTGAGAGTAAAGATACTATACTAACTTCTAGTTACAGAACAGTAGCATAATCTCCATTTCCTCTTTCTCTTCTTAAAAATAATCCAAATAACGAGGAAAATAAAAATAAGAATGCAAACTTCTTTTCTGGTAAACTGAGATATAACCAAAACCCAACCATCAAAATATGCAGAAGGGCTGTCAAGAGTAAGGGGCTCAAAAGAGTGAAAGTAGAAAAGAAAAAGTGCATATCGCACAAAGAGGTAGCAAGGGAAACTTTTCTAGTTGTAAAGTCTAAAACCCATATTTGTAAAAATGAGAACAAGATGCACAGCTACAGGCAGAAACTCCTCAGTTTGGTTCCAATTAGGAAAGAAAGAAGAGAGAAATTAAAAACAAATTATTTAGAAATGCCCTGTTCATAAAGAGCATTCTGTTTCTGTGGCAAGGGGGGAGAAAGGAGATTTTACATTGTGAAAAAATACAGCTGCCTAACACTATTGGCTGGGAAGAGATAAAAAAAACAAATTCTCACACAAAATCCTGAATCATAAGGAAAATTCAAGTTAGCTTGGAACATAAAAAAATAAGCCTTTATACCCAAATAAACCAACAAATAATTTACCCAAAGTAAGCATACTACATAGTAAAAGTTTTTAATTAATTATAAAAAGCAAAATACAAAATTATTTTCAAAACTTACACCAATTTCTTTCATATCAATAAATGTAAGTGGGTTAAACTCACTAGAGTAAAAGAAAAAGACTTTCAGACTGGATCATGAAACAAAACCCAACTCTATAATATAAACTGACACATTTAAAACTAAGTGTTTTAAAAGACTGAAAATAAAACAATGAGCAAAAGTATACCAAGCAAATGCAAATAAAACAAGGATTGTGATATTAATATCCCAAAAGGCTGAATTTAAAAAAAAAAGCTTTAGCCGGGCTCAGTGGCTCAGCCTGTAATCCTGCGCCTTTGGGAGGCTGAGGTGAGTGGATTGCCTGAACCCGCGGGTTCGAGACCCGCTTGGGCAGCAAGACCTCATCTGTACAATAAATCAAAAAATCAGCTGGGCGTGGTAGCGTGCGCCTGTAGTTCCAGCTACTTGGAAGGCTGAGGCGGAAGGATCGCCGGAGCCCAGCAGGTCGAGGCTGCGGTGGCCGGGAGCAGCCACTGCACTCCAGTCTGGGCGACAGAGTGAGATTCCAGCTCAAAAAAATAAATAAATAAATAAAAATAAAAATAAATAAATAAATAAAAGCTTTGAACTAGAAAAAGATCACTTTGTGGAGACATAAAATGGCATGATTCCTTTTCAGCAAATAATACTGGAGCAACTGGGCATCCATGGACAAAAACAGACAAAAAACAACAACAAAAATCATCAACATCAATTCAAAATGGATTATAAGCTTAAATGTACATTTTTTAAGGCATAAAAAAAAGAAAACTTTCACAACTTATAGCTAGGTCAGAGGTTCTCAGACTTGACAAGAAAAACCATCAATGAAGGGGAAAATTGAACCTCATCAAAATTAAAAACTCTTGCTCTGCAAAAGACCCTATTAAAAGAATAAAAAGACAAGCTAAAAATTAGGAAAAAATAATTCATAAACCATATAGCCAACAAAGAATTTGTATTTAGAATATATAAAGAACTCTCAAAACTCAACAGCAAAAAAAAAAAAAAAATTAATAATCCAATTCAGAAATTGGGCAAAAGACATGAATAAACATTTCACTGAAGAATATACATAAATGGCAAATAAATACATGAACCATTCTTAGTCATGAAATATTGCTACACATCTACCAGAACAGTCAAAACAGAAAATGTGAAACACTAAGTGCTGGCAAGGGTGTAGAGAAACTATATCACTCACACATGCCTAATGGAAATGTAAGATAGTACAGCTACTATGAAAAAGAATTCAGCATTTTCTTTAAAAACTAACATTATTTATCATATACCCCAGAGAAATAAAAACTTAACATTCATACAATAACCTGTACACAAATGTTCACTGCAGTCTTATCTGGAAACAATCTAAATATCCTTCAGCAAGTAAATGGTTAAACAAACTGTGGCACAATAATGTCATGGAATACTATTCTGCAAGAACTACAGATACACTGAATAACTTAGGTGGATCTCAAGAATATACTGAGTAAAAAAAGCCAAGTTCAAAAGGTTACATATTATATGATTCAATTTTATAACATTGTTAAAATAACAAAATTGTGGAGACAAAAAATAGATTAGTGGATGGCAGAAGTTAGGAATGGAGCAGATGTAGGAAGATGTCACGGCTATAAAGCGACAGCAAAAAGAAGCTTGTGGCGATGGAACAGTTCTGGATCTGAATTATAAGATGGTTACATGAGTGAAAAAACTGCATAGAAATATAAAACACACACACACAAATGAATGCATATAAAACCAGTGAAATCTGAATAGGCTCTGTTGATAGAACCAATGTCAATTTTCTGGTTGTAATTTAGTATATATAGTAGTTCCCCCTTATCCTTGGGGATGTGTCCCAATACCTATGGCAGATATCTGAAGCCAAGGATAG